TGTGATAGTAAGTGATGGCAAAGGTCAAAAAGTAGGGGCCAGTGAATTGACCAGCCCCCTGGACTTGCTGGAGAAAATACAGAAACTTGCAAGACATGGTGTAGTTACTGGAGACACGGGATGGACACCATGCTTGTAATCTCACTTTGGCTTTGGCTTGGTACTGACTTACAGGAAGGTAGCCGAAAAATGGTGAGAAGTCCATCCATATAGTGCTCAGTGGACTCATCGTAGTGTTTCCCCCCAACTTGTCCCAGCCATCCCTCTTCGTGTCCCATCTGTGAAGGTAGTCTTCCATCAGCCAGAAGGCCAACCAGACGGAAAGCCCAGGGCTTCTCCCCACTTCTGCCTGCCCCAGTTACTCCCATCTCCACCCTCACCTCATCTCCGAACCTTAGGAGATTCACATGGAAGGGCCGAGGCCCTCCCTGGGTAGCTGAAGCTTATAGTTTTCCTAACTGCCCCAAAAGCAATGGGGATCAAGGAAAAGCCAGAGTCCTGTCTTTGAGGAGCTTATCACAATGGTGTGGCTGCCAGAGCCAGTCCTCACCTGTAGAGGAGCTAGTCCCTCTTTATGCCTCTCGCGCTCTCCCAGGGTTGCACATTCACCACTAATGATACATTTCTGGTATCTTTGCTGGGACAAGTAGCACATTAGCTGGAAGTGAATAAGGTGTCATTAGATCATGGCAATAGTGTATGAACAGAGTATGGGACTGGGAGTGGCAGGAGAAGGTTGGAACAGGAAGAGAGTAAAAAAGCACCTTTGTCTTCATTCTTTCTCTTGTCAGACCTGATGGAGGTGCAGCCCCTACGACATCCCATCTAGACTCCAAAAAGAGATAAGGGGAGATTCCCCGTAATTCCAGGGAGATGAGGTGATTTCATGAATGGACATCGTGTAGGTCAGGTATGTGGGAGCTCAGTCCATTCATACCACAACCCAGTTATTATTTTTGTTTTAAATATTTATTTTCATCTACTTGAAGGGGGGGAGACACACATACACACACACACACACACACACACACAGAGAACCCTAGTCCTTCCCAGGGTTCCAAGAGTATCAGGCAGTAAGAGTAGAAGGTGATTTGAGAAGTTGTGGGAGGTACAGCATGCCCCCTCTGCACCCTCCCTGACACATGTAAACATTTCAAGGTCTCTCTCCTAGACCCCACTGAAACTCACAACCAGACATTCTCTCACTTTCTCCTTATCCTCAGTGAATATGAATACCGTTAAGAGGGGGAGTCATCTGAAGGAATGATTAAGCTCTGTGCTTCTGTATGAAGTAATTTAGCTGTGTGTCTCTTTCTCTGACTTAATAGGGCACCGTGGCCCAGTAATGTGAGTGTACTTATGTTGTGGGCTAGGCTGGGCCTAAATTCCTGTCCCAGACTCTTGCCTGTTACTTGGAGAAGAATTCTAAGTATAGGCACAAACACAGCATGCAGAGTGATAAGGTTTATTTACAAAATGAGAAGAATACAAGGCACTTGAGGGCTTTATTTAGGGAGATTGAGCCAGGAAAGGTAGAGAGATTTCCACTCCTTGCTAGCTAGGGGCCACCGGGTCGGGTGGGGAGGTTGGAGGGGGGTGGAGAGAGAGACCCTTCCCTTTTACCAGGCTTCTTATGGGCTTCAAAAAGGGGAGTGGTTACATAGTACCGCCCCCAGGTCCCAGGTAAGGGGAGGTGCACCCGGGGGAGGGGTCATCTGATGGACAAGAGGGTGGATAGGAGTACGTGGGGGAGGGGCAGGTGTGACCTCCAGCTCATGAACTTAAACTATCTCCCTGACTGTTCCCACATCACTTACACTATTAAACTGTACACCTAGGAAAATGACTGACATAGTAAATGCTGTGTTTTATAGATTTTACCACAATTTTTTAAAAGATGTTTTGGGCCGGTGCCGCGGCTCACTAGGCTAATCCTCCGCCTTGCGGCACCGGCACACCGGGTTCTAGTCCTGGTCGGGGTGCCGGATTCTGTCCCGGTCACTCCTCTTCCAGGCCAGATCTCTGCTGTGGCCCGGGAGTGCAGTGGAGGATGGCCCAGGTCCTTGGGCCCTGCACCCCATGGGAGACCAGGAGAAGCACCTGGCTCCTGCCTTCGGATCAGCGCGGTGCGCTGGCCGTGGCGGCCATTGGAGGGTGAACCAATGGCAAAGGAAGACCTTTCTCTCTCTCTCTCTCTCTCTCTCTCTCACTGTCCACTCTGCCTGTCAAAAAAAAATGTTTTGGATCTATTCCCCTGCTTGCTCCGACTGCCCGCTCTGCAGAGGATGAGGCCTGGGTTGTGGCTTTGACTCTGACTCTGTCCTCCCTCAAGACACAGCTCTTGTGGCACAGATAGAGCCCCCAGGCCTCGTGCTCTGAGCCCTAGCACCGAAGGAGGAGTTGCCTTCATCACATTACTCCTCTTCCTGAAAAGATTATAGGTTGTGTTCGGCAATCAACAGGCTGAGAAGTGACTTCCCATCTGTCTTCTCCCAAGGCCGTTTTTTGGATGAGCGGCTCAAGTTGGCTGGCCCACAGTTCTGGTCCTGCACTCTCTCTCAACCCAGCTTGGTGCATTTGCTTTAGCTGCCAGGCTAGACCGTTTGGAAAGCAGCCCAGGCCCTTTTATCTTTGTGGATACAAATTATGTGCCAATTGTTTAAAAGCAGTGGCAAATTAAGAGAAGGTGGTAGCTACAAACAGATGAAAAACCCCATTTGCATTCCTCTACAAAAATCAAATTGACAACACAGAAATACATTTGTAATGGAAGAAAAGCTTCCATTTATTTTTGTACTGTCAAGGAGCACTTGCAGACATTGGAACGCAAAACATCTCCTAGTGCATCTTTGTTGAAAGTCTGAAGTTACAAGTAAGGAAGCACAGGTCTTCTGCTTCAGTATTTTTATTGAGCAAAGATCTGAAGCTGAACTGAAACAGTTCTGCTTAGGCAGAAGGGAGAAACAGACTGCTGAGTGGCGAGAAAAAAATAATGACTTATTACAATGTGTAACATTTTTAAAATCACTGCAATTTCTGCAGTCAGCCCGTGCTATTTGGAGATGTAGTATCAGAACTGGGAGTTGGCTAAGCACTTCATTTTTCTTTCTTCTATCTTTCCCAACCGCAATAGGATCATTTCAATGTTGTTGCTACCTTCTTTGGCCGGTAGAAAGCAGAGGGTCCAGACATCTTGGAAACTTGATTATCTGAGACACAGTTGCAACACTGAAAATGCTTGGAAAAAAAGCAAAGCACTCCCAGGAGGCCGATTTAGGAGAGTTCTATGGTTACTTCCTATACATGTTTCTTTTTTTCTTTTTCTTTTTGACAGGCAGAGTTAGTGAGAGAGAGAGACAGAGAGAAAGGTCTTCCTTCTGTTGGTTCACCCCCCAAGTGGCCGGCGGGCTGCACCAATCTGGAGCCAGGATCCAGGTGCTTCCTCCTGGTCTCCCTGCAGGTGCAGGGCCCAAGGACCTGGGCCATCCTCCACTGCACTCCCGGGCCACAGCAGAGAGCTGGACTGGAAGAGGGGCAACCGGGACAGAATCCGACACCCCGACCGGGACCCCAGTGTGCCTGCACCTCAGGCAGAGGATTAGCCTAGTGAGCCACAGCGCCAGCCCTGATACATGTTTTTAATGGATACCCAGCATCATCATAAAAGGCCCAAATGTTTTTGAAAGTAGGAATATTTCTCTATAGCATTTACTTCCCATAGCTGGCAAATTAATGCTTCCTTGGGAATTGTCCCAACTACTCCCAGATTCCATTATTCTGTTTCAGACAATATAGTATTTTAAATGTCTATGGGAAACCGGTACAGATGTGATTTGCAAAGTTTCACCACCTAAAGCGGTGATTAGGGCTCATTCTCAAAATAATCTTGTGTCTCCAGTTCTGCCAGCTAAATAAAGAGCACTACTGTATTTAAAACCCAGGGTTGGATGCCTGTGGCATCTCTGTACCTGCTACCCTCCCCTGACACAGCCTTCAGGCCTCCATGTCTGGCTGAGATGCCCTCACTGCATCCTCTCTTCCAGTCATTGTCTTGGAATTTGGCCCAACCCCTGGCCCCCACCATCAAGGAGAGGGGGTGGCCTTACATGGCTGGATTAGGACTGGAAAGAAGCCAGTGAAGGGCGATGCGAGTATAGCTTCAAGGAGTGAATCCTGGAATGAAAGTACATTCAGTGAATTTACTAATAGCTCCAGTAAAATACCAGATGGGCTGGGAGGTCAAAGCCAATGCCTCGAGTGAGGTTTGTATATTATCAATGCATTCATGTTAATCGTAATATCTTTGTCCTGCGATTACTGAAAAAAACAGCTGCATTTAGGCAAATAGGTTTACTGCTAAGCCGTGATTTTACGTGTGTCTGATGAAATCCAACCAGCATCATGTATAAGCATTTCCAGGCCTAAGCAGGCAAGTTTCTGCCAACTTTTTGGAGACAAGAATAAATGAATGAACACCTCTAACTTTACCCATCAATTGTTAAGATTGCTAAGCTCGAGCCTCTTCTCTCGGACTCAAGATTTACAGTTCGATGGGTTTTTCTTCTTTAACATGCCCCATTTTGTGATAGTTAATAAGGTAGCTTCTAAAACTTAGCTTTGACAATAGCTCCTAGTGATGGGTTCGGGGAGTTTTGGTTTTGTTTTAGTGCATCCTGAAAAACCAGAAAACGCAAGTGGACAATCCTTATTTAGCATTATGATATTTCTAAGGGCATCAGATTTAGAAAGAGGAAAGGGACGTAATAAAGCAGCTAATACATTTGAAATACTTGACATAACAACTCATTTAGCCATGTAAACCTTTTCATCACCCACAATCACACCTATAGTATTAGAATTGGATGTTTAGATACACATATCGTAACAACCCAAGCCCAAAGCCAAACATCATTTCCAAAAAAAAGGGGGGGGGGTTCTTCTCTGCTTCTCTGTATGGTACTGGGTCTCAAGGCTGGGGTCTTGGAAAGAAGACTCTTAGGTTACTGCTTAAACAATCTTTATTACCTGCCTCTGACAATCCCCTAGGGTAACAGAGCAGGGTGCACCTGAGCCTCAGGCGCCATGGATGAAGCAGACACTGCGCTACCAACTGAATCTGTCTAGGAGAAGTTTGGAAGCACTGGAATGACACACCCACTAATGTCTCCCCTCTGCAGAGGACAGCAAAGCTAGGAGAAATCAGCTAAGTTACCTCTGGGATGACAACTGGGGAGGCGAGAAAACCATACAGCTGGGCTCATGGATCCTCCCCTCCCCACTGGGACTCCCTCCCTCAGTCCCCACGAAGTCCATTCCATCCCAGTCCTAGTGTCCGGGGAGCTCCCTGCTGAAAGACAGAGGGCGGGGAAACGGTGTCTGAGGCCTCTTCCTTTTCTTTGTCTGTGTCCCTAAGGCAACAGGAAGCAGGAGCTGCTGCAGCCGGCCTGGCAGGGATGGCAAGCCCGTTGGCTCTGCAGAGTGAGCAGTCCCTGGCTGCCCCTGGAGCAGCTGCCAGTTAGACGGCCCAGAGTTTTGATAGGACTTCATTGCTTCAGTTTAACGCCAAGTGTTGGACGTGTCAGATTCAGTTCCCAGAGGGCTGGAGCGTGATGTTGGAGCTGTCTGAAGACAAGAGAGCAGAGGCAGTTTAGTGCAAGCTGCATGTGCCGCGTGGGGGTGGAGGCGTGAGAGGAGAGAAGGGTGAAAGCGGCCAGCAGTGGCTAGGTGGGGTGGTGTTCTCCTTCCAGGTCCTTCCAGACAAAGTCTCCTGGCCTCTTATTGTCTGGGCCTCAGGTGAGGCGGGCCCTGGAAGGGGAGGAATGGGCAGGAGCTGCGCTCAGGGAGAAGCAAGGAGATGAGGCATGCGCGAAGGAGCAAGCTAGGGTAGTGGTGCTTAGACCCGCTCGGCACCCTGGGCGAGAGCAGGCAGCCCCGCGGAGGAGAGCTGGCGGCAGCCCTCGGCCCGGGAGGAGCCGGCGGCAGTCTCGGCGTCGGCGGCCGGGGCCCATTCGTGCTCAGCGCAGGTCTGGGACAGCTCATCCTTGGCCTCAACGAGCTTGCGGGAGCGGGTGTAGGCCAAGATGAGGCCTCCGGCCAGGCAGGCGTAGAAAATCATGATGAGCAGGATGTAGAGATAGGCGTCGTCGCCCTTGGCGCTGGTCACCTCGCGGCCCACGAAGGGGTCAGGCACAACCCCCATGCCCATGCTTGGGCCGGGGCCGGCGCCCAGGCCGCTGGCGTTGCCCTGGTGGTGCAGCTGGAGCAGCAGGTGACTCAGGAGGGTTTGCAGCCGTTGGCTCTCGCTGCAGTTCATGGCTGTCGGGGAGCGACACGGCGGCTCCAGGTCGGTGCTGACCTTTCCCCCTGGGCGAGGGGAAGGGAGCGGAGAAGAAGGCCGAGCGCGTTGACGGCGACGGCGATGGCGGCGGCACAGGGCTCTGGAGCTGGCGCGCAGTGACAGGGGGCGCCGGCCGCCGCCGCGTCCTTATCCCCTCACCCCCGCCCCTCCTCCCCTTCCCCACCACGCCCCCTCAGGCCCGCGGCCGCCTCTTCCCAGGCTCCGGCTGTCTCGCCGCTCCGGGAAAAGGGGACAGCTGGTCGGGCAGAAGGAGACTGGGAGGGGGTGAGACCGGGGGAGGGGCATAGGGGGCGGGGGCGCGGAATGTGCGAGGCCCCAGGCAGCCGAGGCTTGCAGGGGCAGCTTACTGGGGCCAAGCCGGGACCCTGGGCTACGGAAAAGAATTCCTTCCAAGGTTCTGGTGCTTTGGCTCTGCTACAGCATCTGGCCCCCTCAGGGGGCCCGCTCGAGTGCGACCACAGACGCCTTCCCTTCCGTTAGCTTTCCGGAAACATGGCAGCAGACTCCCCTTGTGCTCTGTGGCAGTTACTCCCAGAGCTAAGGATCTTGCTTGGCCTATCTCTGTAGCCCTCAATACGCACATTCAAACCCCTCTCCCCAAGCCCCCATCCTCCAGCCCTGGTCCGAGGGGAGCATCTTATTCAGAAGATGGACAGGTCAAGTTCGGTGACTGAGTGCTCCGACACCTGGCTAGAATCCACACCCATTCCTGCTGATAGGACCACACTCCCTGGAAGTAGCTCCGCCCTGACTCCTAGCCCACCGTTCAAGGGGCAGTATATGTTAGCGTGTGCGTGTGTACCATGCGTGCCCTTGGTAAGTCATCTTCCCGGAAGTGAAAGCAAGTTCTTTCATGAAGAGGAGGGACATGAAAAAGGCCCTTTGACTACACTCTAGGTGTCTCAGGATCTGAAACGTGCCAGCTCTGGGGGATATGCTCACCACACTCCTGCTTAGATTGGCACACAGCTCTGTGCCCCTCCAAGGGCTTGGGAACCATCTAGATCCCGATGGCCTGTGCGGTGGCCTTTTTTCCCCTTCTTGTCAGAGGGCATTTTTTTTTTTAGGAGAATACAAGGCACTAAGGCAAAGCTCATTCCAGACTGTTAAACCAGACACAGACACAGAGTTTCACAAAGCAAAAGGGTGAAATTTCAGGTAGTAAAGAATAAAAAAAGGAGATTGTACTGCTCAGATCTGGTCGGACATAGTCACCAAATAAGAATAGAAGGAAGGAGGGAAAAAGTATTATGACCTTACTCATTCCTTGAAAACCAAGCTATCTGTTCAAGATCATTTAGTCCAGGGCCAATCAATATGTAGGTGCCAGAGTTGAAAAGAAAAGAATACTTTCTGGTTCCTCTGCCCTGGTCATCCATTGTCCCTCCCATCCACAGGCCTCAGACACATTCCACCTGACCCTGACCACTGGCTACCTTCTAATCACCATGCCCAAGGGCTCTCACCTCAGAGTGGCTCATGGGAAAATTGCTAGAGTGACTTGGCGTGAATGCCAGAGAACAGAGCTAGGGGATTTTTTCAAAGCCATCCCAACCCCGGGGATGTGACTGTTGAACTGAAGGATTCCCTTTATCTGTTAAAACAAGCCCAGAAATACCGGGTGTTTTTTCCCCAGGGGCAGGGTAGCGGAAGAAGCCCTTTCAGTATAACATATAAATACTCCTTTAAACTTCATTGTACTTTTCAACAGCCTTATAAGCTAGTAGGATTATTCCCTTTTTCAGAAGTGGGAACAGGTTCAGAGCGGTTAAACAGCAGGACTTGAATGAAAAGGTTTGACCTTGTGCTCAATCCTTAGACATCACTCTAGCCCTGTGACTAGTCCTCGCAGTGCCTCCATTTCTCCACTGCCACCTCCCCCGGAACCCTCTAGAGTCCAGACTTTCTGCCAAAACTGTTCCCTGTGAGTTTTCCAAAGACCTACTACAAGTCCAATTGAAGGGTCTCTGCTCAGTTTGCATCTTTGACCGGGAGGATGAATTTGATTCCATAAACCACTCACTCCTTCCTGTAGCTGCAGTACCCTTGCTTCTCATGGCATTGCATTCTCAAGTTTCTCTGATTCTCTCTCTGACCCATCATTCTCTGTGTCCTTTGCTAGCTCCTCTTCTTTCCTCTATCCATTAGCTGTTGGAATCCCTGAAGGGTCAATCCTCAGATATTCTCTCTTAATATCGATTTCCTTGGAAAATGTCTCCTTACATAGTTTTACCTACCTGGCAAACATTTAGCTAAATCTGAATCTGTCGCTTCAGTTTTTCTTGGTAGAACTCTAAAATGCATCTGTTTCTTCCTTTCTGGCTTTATTGCCGTGAGCTTAATCCAAACTCTCATTACCACAGGTCAAATATGCAAACTGAGAATCTCCTGGCAGATCTCCCTGCCTATAACTCAACCCACCATGCTATGATTAGAATAGTTCTCCTCCAACATCATTTCCGTCAAATCACCTCTATATTCTGAAACCCAGAGTTGCTCCTCATTGGTTCTCCCATAGAGCCCGATTCTCTTTGATGGATCTTAATTCCTTGCCACTAATAGACACCACCTTCTCTTTGAATTTGAAGAACAGCATGTTCCCAGAGTTCTTCAATGTTAAGCCTTTTTCCTCCCTCAAAGTTGACTGATTAAAGGAAGCCTTGCTCAGTATCCCTGTGACTCTTTACAATGCGCTCCTCCTGGCTCTATGCTAACTCCGACTGCAGCATTCAGAGCAGAAATCATGGACAACATGGAAAAGCACCAAGAAAAATGTGACTAATAGTATACACAGATGCAAACACATACAGTCATTGTTTCATAGCCCATCTTTCTCACTTTTTTTTTTTTTTTACAGGCAGAGTTAGACAGTGAGAGAGAGAGACAGAGAGAAAGGTCTTCCTTCCATTTGTTCACTCCCTAAATGGCTGCTACGGACAGCGTGCTGCGCCAATCCAAAGCTAAGAGCCAGGTGCTTCTCCGGGTCTCCCATGGGGTGCAGGGCCCCAAGCACTTGGGCCATCCTCCACTGCCTTCCCGGGCCACAGCAGAGAGCTGGCCTGGAAGAGGGGCAACCGGGACAGAATCCGGTGCCCCAACTGGGACTAGAACCCAGGGTGCGGGTGCCGGTTCTGCAGGTGGAGGATTAGCCAAGTGAGCCGCGGCGCCGGCCAGCCATCTTTCTCACTTAATAACATTGTGATTTTTCTCATGTCATTTACTGTTTTTCCAGAACATCATTTTACTGTGTACACAGTATTCCAGACTATGAATCTGCCACAATGTATTTAAATTAGCCCATATTGCATGATTTCTCTTATTTCCAGGTTTTTACTATTAATAATATTTTAATGAACACATGCAAGGACACTTTTAACCCCACTAAAAGAAATAATTACAGGACAGAAAGCAGAAGACTAATGTGGGAAGTGATAGATGTGTAGAAGAGGGTGGAGACAGAAATGGAAATGGTCATAAAATTTAAATAGGCACAAGTCTCAGAAAAAAACAACAGATGTGTGTAGGGGGATTCTGGCCTTTTTTTTTCACACCAGGGGCTGCTGGGTATCCTTTTAAATCCCAGTCCCAGGCCAGCCCTGAATGGCTGAGATGCCGACCCTTTTCCCTGCCACACTTAATGAAATAGCAATTTCATCAAACAAGGATCGGTCCTCATTCCTACCCACCCTTCCATCCCCCACTCCCTCAGCTTCACACCTGCCCCCATACCTATCATACAGTCATCTCTTTATCCGTCACCCAGAATTCACTTATTTCCTGAAAGGTAATCAAGTGTGTTGACAAAGGGAACTCATTTATAAGCATGTGTTTGGACTTTCAGAAAGTCTGGAAAAATGTTCTGATCCCTGCCAAAATTCTTTCAAGAGGACAATTGAGGCGCCATGGACTAGGAAATGCTTTTGCCATTCCTTAAGGCTGTGAGTGCTTCCTGCCAATAGTGCAGTTCCATGGGAGTGCGTTGAATGGAACTAAGTTGAGTTTGGCTAGTTTCCAAAGGACAGGCACAGATGGTAAGCACTGTAGGCGTCCAGGAGGCTGGCAATTGCCATAATGTGCCCCAACGAAGGGGAGGGGAAAGGGTTTCATGAAGTACCAACTACAGACTAAGGAACAATCATTCATTCGTTTATTAATTCATTCAACAAATATTAATTTTGTTGCATGTTACTTTCTTCAAGGCACTATGCTGGGTCTTAGGCACATCAGTGATCAAGTCACATCTATGAACAATCTATGCCTTTATAACTCTCAGAGCTACTTCTTTGTGAACTAGGGACATGGAGCTGAGAGAGCAGTGGGAAGGAAGGCCAGCCTGGTTTGGAGAGAATTGTGACTCTGGACCTAAGCGCCAATCACTAGAGTCCTAAGACTTATTCTAAAAGAAGAAGACCCCAGGTGGTCTGAGTCCATAGTTTGCTGCCATGTTGCAACCTTCCTTACCTGCTGTAGTAAGCACCATCTTTAGGGTGTGGCCTGCCAGAAGTCCCCACCATAGATCTGTTCTCAAAAGATGAATGAGAATAAAATGTGACAGTTCCTGGGTCCAATTTGGGCTTCTCAGTTGTTCCATGAGAATATGTACCATATTTAGGGGCACTCATGGTTTGATAAAGCGCTGGAGTGGGCCTCATGGTCTTCAAGTTCCTACTTTAGAGACTTCGTGGGGATCTTATGCTGAGATTATTCCACACCCAGGCCATACACTGGAGTATCAAATATTGTCCCCAGTCTCACTTATCAAGGGCTCAGCATGTGTCACACATATTATATACAATATATTCAGTAGTCTCACAACAATCCTATGAGATGAGCAGAGGTGATATTTAAAATAGTTAACAGCAATGTATCTTGGGCACTGGTGAGCACTGTTGGCATCCAGAAGGCTGGTAATGCCATAATGGGTGCTGCAGGCAAGGAGGAAAGGCTTCAGGAAGCACCAGCTACAGACTAAGAAGTTATTGTTCATTTACAAAGGGATGCATTGACACGCAATCAGAATAGATGTTGGCTGTGAAGAACCAGGATGGCCTTATACAGCCACATCATCACAGGCCAAGAAGAAGGGGCGCACAGACTCTAGAGCGTCCCATTTCCCAGAGGATGAAGCCAGGATCTCAGTTCCTGGGGCATCATGGAGCGCTTGGGTCATTCTGGGCC